GCCCCCCCCCCCCCCCCCCCCCGAAACGCAGACATGCTGTTACTAGGACGAATCGTCCGACATAGGGCAAAGACTCATCGTTAGCTGAGTATTGACGCCTCGCAACGCAATCGGGATACAAAGATGTCGGGTTCCTGATCATCATATGATTTCTACGGGCCATTTGAACTGGTACCCGAAGGGCTTTGTGCATGCCGAGTAATTCGAAAGAGGAACATTCGAGAGCGGGCGCTAAAATACGCGCCGTAGCAGGGGTCAATGCTTGGTGAAGAGAATGCTTGGGAGATACATAGGATTGGATTAGCGCAGGACCTTAACATAGAACCTCCTTCGAGTTGCGTTGCGTTAGTACTGGTTTCGAAACGGTTTCGGCGCCACCCATGTTGCCTAGATTGATTAAAGCAATGCACTTGGCCATGCACTCAGCTTCAATGAGCGACAAGTACCGCTTACTGAGAGCCATGAATGAGAGATTGTGAAATAGTCACTAGAACTTGGTAAGATGACCCCGTGTTCATTCGTGTTTCGGCACTGGCAAGTCATCCGCCAGCGTTAGTGCCATAGTTGTAGTTTGATAGACATTTACATATTAATCTGAAACCTCCGCAGTAGTACCGGCGGACGTGTACTAACGCACCAAGAACCCATGAACGAGCCTTTATCTCCGCAAAAAGATCGGCGGTAAAGTAACGGTGAGACGTAAGAGGGTGTGGATTGAGAGGAAAAACAAATGCCAGGACCGTGGATTGAACACGGGACCTCCAGAATGCCGTGGCACTTCAGTCTGTTGCTCTCCCAGCTGAGCTATCCCGGCTGATAAATAGTGCTGATTAGGTACACTTATAATCAGACATCTGCACACGAGCACGTGGCAAGTGCGCGGAGTGTGTCTGACACCGGCGGGCGAGGCTCGGTCGTCGCGTCCTCCGCGCCAACAGCTGTGACAGCACCCACTTATCGTCCTCTCTGCCTTTCTCCCAGCGAACAACCCTCCCACTCACTCCTCGTCTATAGCCCAGCGTCGCCCACCAGCGTTCCCTCCCGTGTACAGCCCCTACCCTAATCCCTGCCTCATGCCGACCTCAATGGACTACCAACAGGAAACGCCTAAGCCTGGCCAGAGACCGGACCTCAAGAAGAAGTTGGTGGTCGTTGGTGATGGTGAGACCATACCGTCATTCTCAGGACTGTGACTCATGCTCAGACTCTATGCTCATCGCATGCGTCCAATGTCCTATTGTCTCCGGCGACACCTCACCCCGCATATTCGACCTCGGCACGGAATGAACCTTGGTCTATTGTCACTGAACGCCGCTGATTGGGACCGTCTGATGGATGCAACGTTGCAGGGGGATGCGGGAAAACATGTTTGCTGATTGTCTACGCCGAGAATCGGTTCCCAGAGGTGTGTCCATGTTCTAGGCGCATATGCGCGCCTCTGCCTAGTCATCCAGGCTAACAATATATGCGCGACTCCTTCGACATTTCGTTCACACACCTCACGAACCTTATTTGGCCCATGACTCGACGTGACTCGACATGATAATCACGACAACCTCCGCACGGTCCGGCCTCAGGCATACATTCCAACTGTCTTTGAGAATTATGTCACACAAATTCGGTTTGAAGGCAAGCTAGTCGAGCTCGCCCTCTGGGACACAGCGGGCCAGGAAGAGTATGACCGTCTGCGCCCGCTGAGCTACCCAGAAAGTGACGTGATCTTGATCGTGTTCTCAATCGATTTCCCAGTCAGTTTAGGCAACGTCCAGGACAAGGTGAGGGCTTTACCCCGCTATCTCCAACACCCTCCTTGTGAGCCTTCGAAACGCATGGGCTTGACATTCACGTCCCGAAATGTCATGTTGACGCCACCTTCCGTTTGCAGTGGTATCCTGAAGTCGCCCACTTCTGCGAAGGCACGCCTCTCATCCTTGTCGGCACGAAGATAGACCTTCGAATGGATGACCAGACACGGCGGATGCTGAGCGCGCAGGGACAGACACCGGTTTCGTCAGACCAGGGCGCAGCCGTCGCCAAAGAGATTGGCGCAAAGTACGTCGAGTGCTCGGCCAAGACCGGGACGGGCGTCCAGGACGTGTTCAACCTCGCCCTGCGCGAGGGCATGCGCGGGAAGTGGGGCCACATGGTGAAAAAGCATCGGTGTGTCGTCGTATAGAGAGCACGCGTGCATACGCACCGCCCACCGTCCGCGTCACGACGCCATGTCGCTGCCCGCGCGGGCCATCCGTAGGTGTCCGCGGGTGCCGTTCGCCAGAAGCGAGAGGCTCAGAGCGGAGCAGACAGACCAGGAACTGCATTGACCAGAGACGACCATAGCGTTGGACATTCTCCTGACTACTACTGATACCTATCTATACGTGTAATTGCTTTCTCTTGTTGTCTGGGGCTTACCGTCGCAGGCATTTATTCCACTGTGGCTGGATACACTGTGCGCACTGTAAATTCATGTCAAGAATTTCCTTTTCATTATCGAAGCTCCGAGCAAGACCTTCGCCCGTGAAGACAATAAGAAGAGCGGAAACTCCACTGTTTTGGGCCGACGGCGGTGTCAGAAGTCTGGAGGCTGAGCACGCGCCCGCTTCATTACGTGTGCGATTGATGCCAGGTTCGTCCCTGGAGATTCCGTACCAGCCTCTTCTATGCCAAAACTGTCAACCAAACGCGGCATGTCCAGCGGGAGAACTCCGGTCAGCCACATTGGACACGCCTCGTTGCGTTTCAACTGGGAAATCCTACCGCCACACAAGTACAAATAATGGAACGTTCTTGTGCGAAAGGCGCCGAGACAACAATTTCGAGAAAAGCGGCTGCCACAACGCCTTGGCCAACTCCGACAAGCGAGGTCAGACGCTGATTTGTAGGTCCATGATTATTCTTGATAACACAGCATTTTCCGCGATGGGTAGTCGATAAACTATTATCCCACCCCATTCTTCCCTGCGCGTCCAGGCTTCTGCTCGGTTACGCCCTCGCCTCCAGTCAGAAACAGAAACCGGAACGCTTGGGCAATGATCAAATATTGAGGGTCGTCATCGGTTGATGTTCAGACGGGTCGCATAGACGTTTTAATTCGGACTTTGGCAAGGTGAGACGAAACTCCGCTCGACTGGGCATGTATAAAAGACGTTGCGTTTCTGCCTTTCGTTCCTCAGAGCGCTCTCTTCCCTCCCGCCTTTTTCTCTCCTACCCACCCAACTCTCCTTGACCCTCATGGTCTCCTCCAACGCTTCGTCGCATTGACGTCGCTACCCTTCATCACCACTCTCGGCCGTGTGCCACTCAACGTCCTTCGTCGACACCGGCCGCTTCGACATATCGGCCTGGTGTCTTCACTCGCTCACGCTTGGACGCCATGCCACTCCGGCATCGGGGGTCGCGCTAGCGGCAGGGTAAGTCGCCCGCCATCTCATCTCCACTCCTTCCTCGACGCTGACCGCGTATCTTCTCCTAGGCTCTACGTGGTTGGGCGCTCCCACAGTATCCCACACCTGGAGCGTACTACTTGGCCACCATGGTAAGCTCCCGCACGCTGGTCACCGGACGCCACTGATGTACCTCGACACGGCGCACAGAACTCATCGACGTCAACGTCGTTCATGTCTGCGTACCAAGGTATGTCTGGTAGTTTCATTACTTCTGCGCGTCCTGACCTTAGACCGTCTATCGCGCTTAGTAACCCCCGAAGGATCAAGACATATAAACCTGTGTGGTACGCGCTCCCTTCTTCCCCCCCCTCTTTGCCGCGCGCTGACGACACTCGCCCAGACTTCAAATGAGGAAATAGGCGGTGATTCCGTGTGGCATCAAGGACCCTCTTCGACAACCGAAAGGACCCCCCAGGCGTTTTGCTAGTGATCTGCGGAGAGAAGGAAGGTAACAGCGGCGTGATGCCCTTTGTTTGCAGTAAACGCTGGCCTACCTCGGCGCACCTTCAAGAGGGGGGAGACTCCACAACCCCACGGTGTGTGCGGCGGTACAGTGGTCATACAGGCTGCACGCGTGCCTTCACGGCATGCGTAGCAGTCGCCCTGTGCTCTGTGGCTCCCGAGCGGCGACTCTCTCTGATCGGCGCGGACAAAATGTCTGCATATGCCGAAGGGTCGAAAGACTCAGATACTTCTGCCACTGGGGGTCCTTGGGCGGCTACTAGGCCATCCATCGTTCGTCTTTCGCCTCGTTTTGTCGCTGATAACTGACCACGTTGACGGTTTAGAAGACCCAAGGGACGACCTCGAAATGCACACATACGAGGTAAGAAGTTCTTTTCTTTGGTATTGTCTTTACCGCTAACGCGTATCATATCAGGACTGTACGACATCAGTTCAGGAGAAAGATAAATTAAAATAAAGTAAGCACTCTCGTCTTCGTGCACTGGTCCTTATTAACTCGTCGCTTCTTCGTCCCAGAATGGACCCAAAATATTTCCAAAAAGGAAATAAAATAAAATAAAGTAAGCTCTCGCTCACCTTCGTACACTGCTCCGTGTTAACTCGAATCTCTTCCGCAGAATGGACCCAAAAATTTCCGGACGTGGAGGGGGCCGAGCCCCGGCGATGAAGGGAGGGTATACGACAGGCTGTCACCTTGGCAAAAGCCCTGGTACGCCTTTTAGCTCGGATACCCCCTCTGAGCTGAGGGGCAGGCATGAGGACCTCCGGCGGGCGTCACTGCAGCTCAAGGTGCGTCGGAGCGCGAGCCCTTTTCATCATGCTGACGCTGACCATCCCCGCCTCTTTTGCAGACGCAAGAAGGGATGAAGGGCAGACGCATATGTTCCCGCTTCTTTGGACCACACAGCTTGTGAAGAAGGGCCGGCATAAGCCCTCTCGAGAGCTGCAGGTGAGTGTTCACGTTCTAAAGAGGCTCGTCAAGAGAGCTTCGTACCTCGAGCTTGCTTTCCCGCCAATTGGGAACCGAGATCGCCGCGAAAGGCCGTACAGTACGTGGTCCTCCTTGTCGTTTCCTTTCCCGCGTACTCACGCACATTCGCTCGCCTTGCCAGAATTCGTGAAAATCCGCTGACCTTTTCTAGCAAAGTAAGTCTAATCCCTTTCTCGTGTCTTCTCAACCATCTAACGGCCGTCGTCTATAGATCACTTCCGAGTCCTGCGGGCATCGAGGTGCATCGATGGGAACCACCTCTTCCCTCGAGTGCTCCGCAGGCTCCAAATCCGGCACATTACGATGCAGACAGGGGATCATGGTGAGCGATGCGACGCTCTGAGCGGGTTTCGGGACGCTTACCACGATCGCCAGTATCCCCGCCCTCCGCGCTATCCTTCAGCGCACCCACCACCCGCCAACGGACGTTAGCGAACGCGTGCCTGCCTTCACCGCTGCAACGCCTTCTCACCCGCGCTCTATTCTCGTCGCAAAGGCGCTATTCATCGCATCTCGCAAAGGCACCCGCGTTCGCCGTCGGCGGCGATCGTTCCAATACTCTTCAAGTACATTTTAGAGTCGCGTGTACGACTCCGATTTTAACCCTTGTCCAGATCTATTCCTCGCCGCTAGCTACACGCGCATCTACCGTCAGCTCTCCTCGCTCAACGTTGTCAACGTTCATACTGGTACGTTTATCACTCGCCCTCCGCAGCGATTACTCGGTTGACGCCCTCGTCGCTTCAGCATCTCCGCATCTTATACTTCTTGATGATTCCTCTCTCTTCACTTACTCTTTCTCTCTCTCTTCCTTTCCTTCGTCCGATTTCGGATTACCCTGAACTGTTATCATTATTCATATCTATTTCCTTTTCTCTTTTTCTTCATCCTGTTTTCGACTTTCTCCCTCTCCTAAACTCTCTCGCGTCTTCTCGCCGTCTCTATGGTCCTGCGTCCGCCATCCTTCGCACCATCGCCCGCATCTCGCGCTTCGTCCGCCGCCGTCTCACGAGCTTTACTGTAAGTATATCTGCCCTTCGCCGCGACGCCTTCACTGACGCGCTCGCTTCAGCCGTCACTCTTCGTATCGCTCGACCGCTACGTCTATGCTCCTCTATGCCACTTCTACTTCTTCGCACTCTACGATCAGCGCTGAAGTATCACGCCACGCCACTTCAAGCTCACTTTCAAGTCTACCGCCCACTCGGTCCGGAACTGACTCGCGCCGCCGTAGCGGTCAACATGTTCGCAGTGTTCCGCTCCTGAGACGCTTGTGCTTTTTCTGATGACGTTTAGAAGACAGCACTGCTCTCGCCTCGCACCCGCCCGCCTTTTCTGCCTCCCACATCGGAGCCGCGTCGACTTGTCACCTCTTGGAAGCGCCCTGTACAGGTATGTCTAATCTGTCCGCGACGCGACATTTACCTGACACTTGTGCTTCGCAGCGTCACCTATCCCTCTTACCTCGTTTCGTTTGCGGGGCGCATCCTCACCACCAATTCTACCACCGCATTCAAACCTTACCATCATCGTATCGCGGAGCTCGCCCTTGCTCCGCTCTCCTTCGCGTTCTCCGCGAATAGAGTACGTTGCCCTTTCGGACAGCCTTCCGAGGCTCCGGCTTTCACCCTGCTGACTCATGGACGACGATACAGATTCCCGCTATCATCGCCCCCACGATCAACGAACAGCGCCTCGCAATTCTGCCAGCTACTACCATCTGCACCGCGACGGAGACTCACATACACCGTGAGTGCGCCATTCATCATACCTCTCTCTGGTCGCTGACGCATTCACGACTTACAGTTACTCACTCTATCCACCTATAACCACAACGACATAGCGGAGGATAGGGACACTTGACCGGGACGACAGAGTTGACTCTTTGATTCTCTACTTACGCGTTCTTTTTCTTTTACGGCTTTTTCCTTTATAACTTTTTCCTTTACTTTACTTTGACTCTACGATCGAATCCAATATGATATGCGTTTATGTCTCCTTCAACCCCGGTGTGACGTTCGATAAGCGACTAGATTTGAGTCTCTGCTTATAATGAAGCTCGAACGCGCAACAATGCAGTCTCCCTTCGTGCGAACCGCTTTAGTGTTGAGTAAGTATCGCTGACCAGACTCTAGCGGTGTAGAGCAAGAAGCACGAGATTGCATTGTAAATGGCTTAGTATGACAACGATTGTCCATCGTAAAAAAGAGTTGGTAAACATAAAGCCAACACGATCTAATGTTCGCTTGGCATAGACATATCAACAAAGTAAATCATCAAGCACATGAGTATGGGGTATATCCGTCGCAGAGATCAGATGCAAAACACGATTCGAATGAGCAGAGCACAAGGACACCCAGCGCTCTACTCCTCCTTTTTCTCGTGCGCGGCGCGAAGTGCCTGCGAGGCCACGTATATGCGCCTTGTGAGCCAGCCCGCAGCCAGAAACACGACGGCCGCTGTGCCGATCTGCACGAGGGGGAGGTGCGTGAGGTCGCCAGCTGGCACGCGCATGGTCATCGGCCGCAGCTCGACGCCGTCGGCGGGAGGGATGAGGTTGAACCGCGGTGATGCGAGTGCGAAGGCGGTGTGTAGCTCGGCGGGGACGTCAGGTAGGGATTCGGGGAGATGGGATACTGGGGGTGGGATTAGCGGGTATGTCGCTGCGAAAGAGGGAATGGTGCGTACGAGATGGATCGGCAGGGCATGCCCAGAATGCGCGCGGAGGTTCGATGGGGACTTGTTCGTGCGAGGGACCGCCCATGGTGGGTTCGCTGTACCGCATGTGCAGAGGGACGTTCACGGTGATCTCCCGTGCCCCTCCACCGTCATCCTCACCAACCTCCTTGATCTCCTTGAACGTCGAGCTTGCGTTGAGGTTGAGTAGCAACCACACGTCCGTCTGTTCCACGGCCACAACGGGCAGCTCAAGGTCGGCGGGGCCCTGCAGCTCGAACACAAACCCGCGGTCCTTCAGCTCGTTGGAGTCGACAATGACGTTTGGTGGAAACTTGTGGAGGACGTGAAGGGCGCACGCGTCAGCGTAGGCGGTTTGGTTCAGGAGTAGCCGGGTCGAGAGGGTGGTGTGGAACCCCGAGGTGGGATCGAGGGCGACAGAGAGGATCTTGGACGAGTCAGAGTAGACCTTGCTTTGTTTTCCTCCCATTTTTGCTTGGTTAGCGGTGGCGGAAGGTGGTGAGTGTGAATGTACAGGGGCGCGTGGGGAAGGTGGTGATGGTTCGCGTCAACGCGCAGATGAGGGGGCGTGAAAGTGCGGGCCATGTGAGCAAATTAACATGTGATCAACGGCTTGTCTTTGCGATGACGACCTTGTCTCCTTTCCAATCGCTTGCATGCAACGATAAGCCAAACCCCTTTTACTTGACCACAAGACGCATTGACACAAACATTGAATGAACGGTTAGTGCTCAGCCAAAGCGGTGTTCCGGCCCATCATGTGATTGTGAGTACTGGTACTGCTTCCCCGCAACCTGCACCCCACCAGTGCTCACTAGCACTGTTCTGCCGCACGCCTGCCGTGTCCAAATCCATCTGTTCTCCAATCCTTCTACAAGCTCCGAACCTAGTATCTATCAATATGGACCAACAGTCTACACGAGATCTCAGAGCAGACGTATCCAAGATCCTCGGCGTTCTCGACGACATGCAGGACAACGTCGATGGCGTTCTCGATAGCTCCATTGCCGCAGATCGCGCGAATCCACCCGTCGTGTTCGGCGCTGGGGGTCCTATGTGAGTGGCAACAACCTCCGATGTCCGCGTATGACGCGAGCGCGGCTCTGCAAGGTTGAAGATGTTCGATGAATCGACGCAGTCGAGTCGCAAGGGCTCGCAGGCACCGACACCCCCTCGTTCAGTCGTAGGCATTGGCAACAAAGGTTTACACCTTGTAGCTTCCACATTGTGCTAGCCCACTTATGCGTTACATCTAGTTGCGAAGCCGGACTACTCGGAAGCCAAGATCGTCGTGGCCATGGTAAGCTATGTTGAACCTATGGATTCTCCCAAATGTCAATTCGCTAGTCCTAGGTCGGCCTTCCCGCCAGAGGAAAGTCGTTTCTCAGCAATAAGCTGATGCGATATCTCAAGGTGCACTGTCTACCCTTGACCCACGAGCCCTTATCTGACATGTCCACAGTGGCTGGAGTACGACGTCGAGGTCTTCAATGTCGGGCAGCTGCGGCGCGCGAGGGCTCGTCAGAAGGCTCAGCAGTAAGTCACCTCTCTTTTGTTCAATATATGCGTCTCAATTCCAGTAGGAGTGGTATCAAGGAAGACCATACCGCAACCTACTTCAGCCACGAGAACGCCGAGGCCACCAAGATCCGGGATCAACTTGCGACGGACAGTTTGGAAATGCTGATACAGTGGCTTAGGAAGGGAGGAAACGTTGGCATACATGGTATGTACCCTCCACGACGCACATATACACCCACTAACTATGTTGAAGATGCGACAAACAGCACCATCAACCGGAGGTACGTCTCCACGTTCACCATCCCACCGCCTCCTAACACTCCCCAGATCCAAGATCTCCGCCCGCGTCGCCCAAGAACGCGGCATCGAAGTCATCTTCCTCGAGTCCGTGTGCAACGACCCAGCCGTGATCGCCGCCAACGTCGCGCTCAAAGTCTCCTCCGGCGACCCCGACTACTCGGGTCTGCCGCGCGAAGAAGCGAAGCGCGACTTCCTGACGCGCATCCGGCAGTACGAGTCCGTGTACGAGACGATCACGGAGCCGCACCTCTCGTACCTGCGCATCACGGACGTCGGGAACGAGGTCACGCTCTCGCACATCAACGGGTACCTGCAGAGCCGCATCGCGTTTTATCTGATGAACCTGCACGTGAAGCCGCGGAGCATCTTTTTTTCGCGGCATGGTGAGAGCCAGTATAATGTGCTCGGAAGGATAGGAGGGGATTCGCCGTTGTCGCCGCGGGGCGAGCAGTATGCGAAGGCGCTGCCTGATCTTGTAAGGGACAATATTGGCGATGCGCCGTTGACTGTATGTGCTTTGTCGTTGGCCTGGTGAGAGGCTGTGGCTCACCATGCGCCTTGTAGGTGTGGACCTCGACGCTCCAGCGCACGATCCAGACAGCAGGTGGGCTCAACTACACCCAGCTGACCTGGAAGTCGCTGGACGAGCTGGACGCGGGCGTGTGCGATGGCATGACGTACGAGGAGATCGAGGTTTGTCGCTCTTTATCCTGGCTTGTACCGTGGCGTACCTGTGTTGACGGGACTCACCGACGATGTGCAGCAAGCATACCCGGAGGATTTCGCGAACCGCGACGAAGACAAGTTCAACTACCGCTATCGCGGCGGCGAGTCGTACCGGGACGTGGTTGTTCGGCTGGAGCCCGTTATTATGGAGCTGGAGCGGCAGGAGAACATCCTGATCATCGGGCATCAGGCTATTCTTCGTTGTCTGTATGTGTCCCCATTTCCTTGGTCTGAGTGAGCATGGACGCTGACGTATGCACAGATACGCCTACTTCCATAATCTCCCGCAGGCTGACCTGCCGTACATCAAGATCCCGTTGCACACGGTGATCAAGCTCACGCCGAAAGCGTACGGTTGTGACGAGGAGCGGTCCGTCCTTTTCCCATTTCATTCTACCGTTTTCTCATCATCCCGAACCGTGTCCTCGACCTGCAGGTATAAAGTGCCAATCAACGCCGTGGACACGCACCGTCCGAAACCCAAGGCCGCTGGGCTTGGGCTCGATGCGGCACCGCCACCAACGGCTCGGGATTATTATGGGAGCAAGCAGTGAAGAAGTAATGTGATGTGGTGTTGAGATGATGGCGAGAGTTTTCAAATGCACACCTGTGTTAGACTTGTATTTTTAACTTGCCTTTCGATCCAGCTTGGCGGTTTCCTGTCATTTGCATCGGAGAGAATTATACATATTCATGGAAGTACGCTCAAGCGTCGGGAATCACCATCATATCATCATTGCCTCTGCCCAGCGCCGTTTAGTATACGGGTCTGCGTTTGTCAAGCGTTCATGGACTTCAGATCACGCCGTGGAGAAAATCAGAAGTTCACCGTGTCTGTGCGAAAAGAGTCTGAGACACTAATCTAGGGTATCATGATGCGCCTTCAAGCTGAACACCCCTCACGCTCTTGCTTTTCGAGATGCAGTGTATGTCGCAACTGAGGGCGTACCGCTTGTTCCATGTTTATCGTTTCCTCTTCTGCTTATCATCGTCTGTGCGCTGATAGCCAACGGCTCGATCATATACAAGATAATTGTCATTGGGCACATCACTCGTTGATCATAGGATCGCCGCGAGTCCTGTTGTCGATCACTTTATGCCGGCGGCTCGTTGAGCGCCTTTTCATTGCCCAAAAAGCTTATGGTTTTGCATTTCCCTTTATATGTGTACTTCTCTTTATTTCTGGCTCAAATTGTTCACGACAGATGAGCTTCTTCCACGACGCTATGTGAACTTGAAGCAAGCCTTCGACATCCCACCGTCCACTCTCTTCCATCAACCAACACCATGGTGGCCGCCAATTTTCTGCTGGACGACAAGTCTCCCCTCATTCTGTACGGAGAGCAGTTCTTGACCTCGCCGGGGAACGACTATCTCGCTGCTTCGTAAGCCTAACACAATTCTGTCATCCCTTGCGTTCTCTGTGCTGATTTAAGTCTGGTATTACCGTAGGTACTACCTCGGCACGTACACAGTGACCGACGTCAACGGGACCTCCCTGACATGGAGCTTCAACGGGACCGCGTTCGCGATCTACGGCGTCCGCTCTGCGAACCACGGCGCGTACGCCTACAGCATAGACGGCGGCGCCCCGCAGGCGATGACGGGCGACACGACGGACCTGCTGTTCCAACAACCGCTCGTGCAGATTTCTGGATTGCAGCAGGGCACACACACGGTCGAGCTTACGAATCTGGGCACGGGGAATGCGTCGTATCTGGATGTGGATATGGTGTGTGCGCATGTTCAATCAAGTTCTCGTGTGTGGTAGTGCGTGGGGCTGATGGGCCTTTTCAGATCACCTTTCAGTCTGATATCGGTGGCGATGAGCAGCTTGTTAGCAGCGTTATACAGGACTGGGACTCGCGGTTTCAGTATAGTTCTGGTTGGGATACTAACCCCATGAACGTTTCTTTGTTTAATAATGCTTCGGGGCAGTGCGTGGTCTGTTTTCTTATCCTGCTCTGGTAGTTGACTAGGATGGTATAGTGTTACAACGGGAAACGAACATGTTAGCCTTTCGTTCACAGTAAGTCGTCCAAATCTATTCTGAATGAAGCTTCGTACTTACAGTCGATGGACGTTAGGGAAAGTTATATCGGGTTCCTCGCGATTTTCGTCATTCTGATTGGCATATAGGCGTCGCAGTCTCCCTGTACGGCTCTGTCGGGCCGAACAATGGTCAATACCAAGTACAGCTAGACGGTGCAAGTCCTCAACTGTTCAATGGCACGTCGTGGGACACTTTTACTCAAGTCATGCTGTACCAAGCCAATGACATTGGCGACAGTCAGCACGAAATCACAGTGTATAATGCGCCGGAAGGGGATCAGAACACTTTGGCAGTAGACTTTGCAGAGGTTCTTTCGTACATCAGGTAACTTTCTGTTGTCCTGTAACCCTTCAACCGAGGATGATAACCCACGATTGCAGTTCTACTAACGATTCGGCTGTCTGCGCTGCTGGAGCGCTACCTTCGAGTTCGTCAACGTAAGCACGTTTGTTGTGAGAGTTGAGTCCCTCGCTAAAAAAGGCTCAAGCTCTCAAAAAGGTCTTATTGCTGGCTTGGTGGTGACCACTATCACCGCCCTCCTCGGAATCATATCTGCGCTCTACCTTCTCCGCGCAAACCGAAAGCTCAAGCAGTTCCAGAAACTCACAACTTTGGCAACGCAGGAGCACGGAAACCATATGGGCCCCTTCTTCAGGAGCGATTCTGTCTCTAGCGCGCCGGGGGCATACATACCCGCCAGCGCAGCCGTCGTACCATCGGTAGCAACGGGCTCAGGAATGGAGCACCCAAGTAGCTCGGGTCCGTACGATGCAGAAATGTCCTTGAATCATACCGGAAACACGCCTCCGCTGTCGCCGTCTGATGCACGACGGCGGCCTTTGCCTGTGCCATCCACCACGCCAGGTTTCAATGTGGCTCTTGCGGATGCGCCTCCTTTGTACCATTGATTGCGTGTTTGGATGTAGTTTTATGGTGCGTCTTTCCTAAAGTCATCGGCTTTACCTTTGATGTTCATCGTGCGAAAGCTTAATAGGTTGCCAGCGAATCTCTGTATTTTCATTAAGCGGAGAATGTATGATTTCGTACCTCGAGCCCTTAAGTCCTTTCACTCGTTAGTGTCGCCTATCGTGGCAGCTAGGGCGACCTTTGGCGGCGATGAACACCCGCCGCTCTATCTCGTTGGGACTAACGGGCCGCCACTGCTTCTCTACGCAGCAGTCGGTGTATGTATCTTTGGATAGTCGATAGCGACGTGACGCCAGGTGCTATCTCGGTTTAACATACTTGAGATGCTCGAGGCCGCGCGTACCTGATAACGGGGGTCTTCGGCACGCTAAGATCCGAGCGCCACCTTTGTTATTATTAGCTAGTGACACCGCTGCGGACGGCATGGCTGGGAATCATTGCAATAAGTAGTGCTAGTTCAATCCGATCTTCTGACTCTGTTCCAATCACCCATCAAATCCATCGTTGAACGTTTGACACCGAATCACATCGGTAGCAGACACACCCGTACATAGCCACTTCCCGTTAAACGGCAAACATCCTTTCGCAGGGCTTCTGGAGGGTGAGTAGTTATGGGTCGGGTTTCGGAGCCTCCTTCATTGTTACCAACTTGTCACTGAGAATAGGAATGGCCCTCAAAAACCTACATGTACAGTATGTCGCGTCATCCTCACGCTGTCGTACCAGCGGGTATTTCTCTGTTGACCGGATAGTCGTCACCATATCACACCACCCCGCCTGTCTTTTAGGGCGAATTACTAACACGGTTCATTGCTGTGAGCCTCAGCGCTCAGCGGAAATGGCTCCACCGAACGTCCCCTCCTTCGCTCGCCCACCATGGTGGTAGCTAACTTCTTACTGGACGACAAATCTCCCCTCCTCCGTTATGATTCTGACTTTCTTTCGTTACCGGGAAATGACAATCTCTCAGCATGGTGCGTGCCGACTTCCTCGTTCAGTCTCAAACCGCCCCAAGCCTTTTCTACTGCTCGTTGAGGTATTTCCTCTAGGTATTACCTCGGAACATACACGGTGACCGCTACTAACGGCGCCTCCATGGAATGGGCTTTCAACGGATCTGGATTCACAATCTGGGGTGTCATGTCGTACAATCACGGAGACTATTCCGTCCAAGTGGACAACGGATCACCAACGACACTCAGCGGAACCACCCCCAGTCCAGTTTTCCAGCAACCTCTAGTCGAAAGTACACTTCCTCAGGGCACCCACACGGTCAGTCTCACCAACCTCGGCACTGGCACCACGAACGCCCTTGATGTGGACATGGCGAGCTCATTTCCCTCATAATCGGTGTCTTGATTTATTCTTACTTGTGTTCTTAGGTGACGTTCCAGTCGAACATTGAAGGCACCGATCAACTCGTCGCGAGCATCATCCAAGATACGGATGATCGCTTCAAGTGGTCATCTGGCTGGGATACCTCTCCTGCTAGTGTATCGTTTTTTAGTAACGGAAGTGGCCAGTGAGTACCTCGGTAGCTCTCTTTCGAATCATAGTTTAAAGATAAGTCAGTGTTACTACGTCAGCAAGTGCAACCTTTAATCTATCGTTCACGGTGAGCATCTATTGTTTTTCTGATATAGCCCTATGTTAACTTCAGGTTTCAGGGTGGGATTTTGGTCGGTATGATCTAGAAAGATAGTTATAATAACGTTGTTCAGGTGTTGCCGTGTCGTTGTATGGCTCCGTAGGCCCTAATAACGGCCCTTACCAGGTTCAACTGGACGGAGTCATGGTCATCAATCCCCAGTCGTTCAGCGGCACATCATGGGATACTTTTACCCAAGTAATGCTGTATCATGCTAATGATATCGGTGACGGCCCGCACGAACTCACACTTTACAATCTACCGTCAGGACCACAAAGCACCCTCGCAATAGATTATGCGGAGATATTTTCGTACGTCCAGCTTACCAACGGGTACTGCTGTTGTCTAAATTCTATGACTTGCTAGTTCAACAAACGAGGCTTGCTCCTCCCGATCATCTTCGTCGACTTCCACGTGAGTTCAGATAATGTCGTTGACTGGAGTCGTTAATTCAGTGACTGAATCTTTAAAGGACTCAAAAGGGACTAATCGGTGGCCTGGTTGTGGCCTGCACGCTTGCCGCCATCGCTATCCTCTCCGCTCTCTGGCTACTTAGATCCAACAGGAGGCTCAGAAACTTTCACAGCCTCTCGACTATGGCAACACAAGGCCCAGACAGCCGCAGGGGCCCTTTTTTCCGAACAGATTCAGTCCATAGTGGTCATGGACCATACATACCGGCCAGCGCAGCTGTTGCTCCGTCAACGGTAGCAACATCCGGAGCGAACCCAAGCTCGTTTACGCACGATACGCCCGTGACGTCGTCTCAAGGCGTGGAGACTTCCCAGATATCGGCGTCTGACTCCCGTAGACGAGCACTTCCCCGACCGACTACTGTCGCGAGCATCACTAATAATCGCACAGAGGCGCCTCCAGCATACCAATAATTGGGACGCCCCTGTGCTAGACCGATCACCTTGCGATCTATATTTTCTACTTCTACTTACGCAATACCAGACGAGCTGTATTATCTAGTTCATTGCCATAATCTGCCCCAGCTGCGATTGAAGTGGTGTTTCCCGAACTTTTACATTACGCATACGTCTGATTTACGTTCTGTTCGAACCTGTTCGAACACCTTATCCAGGGCTCGCAGTCAGCAGGGCCGGGCCGCCGGAGCCGAGCCGAAGAAGTTCCAACATGTTGGCGTGCCGCGGCTCAGCGCAGCTCGGTCATGAACCAAGTATGGCCGAGTCGACCAACCGCGGCTGTTGCCCAGCTCTCTCCAGTTCGAGAGTCATCGAAACTAAGGCGACAGATATCTATAGGAGTCGTCTTATCGGCTCATACGAGTCTCTACTTACTGTAAGTGCCAAAGCGGACCTTGTGTGGCGCACTAGAACCTTGCTCACTTTCCAGACCCTTGCCATCCTTTACCTCTTCAACCTCTTCAAACGGCAGCGTAGGCTCACCTCCCTCCAACACCCACTGCGGCTCAATCAAATCACGGCCCTGTGGATGCCGTATGCCAACCATAACCTTCCATGGTACTATGCTCGCCCTCACAGTGCTCTTCAACCCCTCCGTTCACCCCCAGTGCCGAGCGACACATAAACATTCAGCGCCCTCCTTGCGCCCTCAGCGTCGCGTCACAGCTCGCTAAGAGCCGCTATAGACTTGAGCGGTGATGCGGGCACCTCCGTTGTCGGTAGTGCATCGAGAGGAGGAAGAGGGGTGACAGAGGTTCTCGCAGTCTACGCTTGTTGAGCGTATTCGCAATGGTACGTCGAGATTCTCCGCTTCTTTGTTGCAGGCGGCTTACGATGAACTCCACGGCTTTGATCTCACGTTGTCTCTGCCCACCACGTCTCCTGGCATATCTTGTATCTACGAACCCATTCGCTTCATTTCGCACTCCTCGTCATGCACCTCCGGCTATGGCCTTCTCGCGCTCGCCATACCCGCCCGGCGCACCTCCAGCGGCTACAACACATCAATCGCATCCTAGAAGATAGTATCGACATGCGCAAATGCATCCAGGCATACGAATGGGTGACGTGAACGTGCACAGGCACCACGCTCGCCTCGCACATCTAGTCATATATTGGTAGACACTGTTCACTTGCACGTAGCCAGGTTAGTCTCGTGTCCACTATCATATGCAGCTTCGCAGCCATCTCTCCTTTGTCTTCGCCTTTTCCCACCCCTTTGCCTTTGTCCTTTCCCCATACTCCTTGTTCATCCATGCCTATGTTCGCACCAAGCCTTGACCTCCTTGCTCCGCATGCCTAGCCATTTAGCTATACTCGCGCTTATCGCTTTCCTCGTCGTGATCTCATTCTTAACTGAGCTTACTCCGTCTTCACGCTTGTGTTCATGGTTTCACCTGCGTAGGTCCCGCAACGACCACGGATAACTGCCCTGTTCATAGGCATCGTTAATGTCATGCACGCCAGGCGCGCAATCTCTGAAGCTATCGGGTCCACTAAGAACTCGTGAGTCATATCCCTTTGTTCCCTGTTTTGCCAATGTGCCGGCTGAGCTGTTACGCTCGAAGGCGCCGAGCCCGTCTCGGTGCTGCAATGGTATCATCGCTTCCGTACCTCTTTGATTCTCCTCTCCGCCCTCGGGTGTAACTCCAGCTGATCTGTCATTTTCCAGGGTCATTGACAGGATTCAACGTCTCCGATAAAGCCTTCTCCAGGAAAAGCAAACAGTACTTTCGCAGCGACTACCTCGATTTGACGCAGCAGTGAGTCCTTCCTGGGCCTCTCGCTCCTCCCCTCCCCTTCTCGTCCGTTCCTCCTCGCGCCGTCGTCTTGCGTCGTCTTGCGTCATCTATCATACCTCCACCGATTAGCCGTATATATGCTAATCATCCCTCTTTGCTTCTTCCTCCTCTTCTCCCTCCTCACAACGGTGTCATCAAATCCCTGAACGCATCGTCCTTTAGCACCGAACAGAAGCAGAACGTGGGCAACTTCGGCGTGCGTTTGCAGTGTCATGGTCATGCGCGTCTATGCGTTCTTTCGGTCCAAAATAGAGGCTCGGCCTCGTTTGTAGAGCACTTGGCATATATTATTGTGGTTGCAAAGGTAGTATCGGACGTTGGGGCTGTACTTACTCCCATCTTGTGATTTCTCTTCGCTCTCCTTCCTCGCATAAACATGCTCCGTTCATTCAACTCTCTTCGTTTCTTCGTTTTTTTCTTCTATGATTTATCATCTCGCCAGAACGGCTTTAATTTGTTCGCTGTTGATAGTTGTGTAGCGCATACATTCTTAGGAACTTGGTGTCAATCATGATTTGGCGTGCATCCGGGGTTCCAAATTCTGATCTTTCTTGTTTGGCGTTCAATGACCCTATGTCAGCGAGGTCCCTAACATGCGAATGTGTAAAGCAAGGATTATGAGTTTTATGATGTGTCCACATGTCGGCGGCGTTCAATTCAACCCCTGAGTCGGACTTGGTCAGAGCCGTCTCGCAAGTCGCGACTTGTCCACAGCCCGAACCTCTTTTTTGCCCTGCTCTATGATCACAATCGTGTTCAGCCTACCTGAGCATGTTGAACTCTTCGCTACCTCTACCCACTAGGCTGTCGTGCGACGTACGATGTATAAGGGGTCAATTAACCCATGCTGCACCCGCCGACCACAGTGTCCAAGCTGTTTAGTGGCTTGAACGGAGTTGAGGTCCCAGGAACACAGTGCTCGCGTCGAAGCGACGGTGTCAATGGCTCGGGCGATGCTGCTGAGGTTGTTGTCTTCTCCGGCGGGTGAGTGCTCTGGTGGTCACCTTGATTGATAGCGTTTAGAGTTAACTTCATCGCGGCTCGTCGGGCAGCCACTCCAGCAAGATCAACGACACGTCTGGTTATCTAAAACGTGATTAATCGAAGTCGGTCCCTTGGTGCGTTCTCGTTCTCTTGTAGTCTCCCCTAGGCAGACCCTATATCAGAAGACAGTCGTTCTTGATATCTTGCTGTATCTCCCTCCCTCCTCCATGTAGCCTTACATGCTGCTCTTAGATATAGAATGTCTTCATCGCACCCACATCCGTAACCTCCAAACCAGTCTCCCACCCCGCCGAACCTTCGACCCGTCCTTCGCCGCGCAGCTCATAGACGACTCCTCATCGCCGTTCGAGTCGGCCGCAGAAACCCTCCTCCGTAACGCCTGCCCCTTGACGTACAAGAAATGTGTCGAGCTCCTGCAGTCCTCCATTCCCAATGGTCTCAACCTCAGCAATGTTAGCGCAGGCACCCATCCCGTAGCGCAACGGGTTCGTGCACATTCCCCTCGAGGCGTACAGCCGCCATCGCGCGTTCGACTTCCGCCCGGACGACGTCTGGCTTGCGATTCTCGCGCAGTTCTCGCTCTTCGTCGACACCTACTCTGAGGAGCTGCGCTCTTCTTTCGCTGCGCACAAGGGCAAGAAGCACATGAGCGTGAGAGCTGTGGGGTCGCGCTACAGCGACAACTTTGGAAGCATGGCGAAGCAGATGGCGAGCGAGCCTGAGAAGAACGTGAGTGATCCGGAGCTGTACGAGTGGGCGACGCTGACGTTTAACACGAGGCGCTGACGGCGATGACTAAGACGTACCTCGACTTTTTGTTCTTCCTCCTGTGCGATAGCGTCACGCTTGACGGCTCCCACGGCGACTGGGCCGCGATACTGCAGAGGATTGAGAAGCTGAAGGAGTACGGCGCGGAGGCGATGGCGTGATTCCACTCCCTCAAACCCGTTATCAAGTCCTTTGTGCAAGCGTTTGACGATCTGCACGGGACCGAGAACGTCGATTTCTGGGGGAAGGTCGTGCACAAGCATAGCGACGGGAACGGGCCGACGTATCTCATGGGATGAGTCACCGCGTTCGGCGTGTTCACCGCCGAAGGGCGGTGGCAGGGCCCGCGGTTGCGGAACCTCCCTCCCACCGACTCATTATCGGTGGACAAGAACTACGTAGAGCTCAGCGGTGAGGTGTTCACCACGAAACACTTCGTTCCGCGCCCGGAAGGCGACCCTTTCATCGGTCAGCTGTACCTCACGCTCGACGGTGTGCTGTACCCGCATGTCGACACTGCCCAGGTTCCGCCGGGCACGGCCGAGGTAGACGTGATGCTGGATGACAACGGGGAGGTGTTCCCGACGCTCACCGTTGCTGGCGATGTGTGCAGTGCGGCCTTGTCAGGCAGGGACAAGGCGCCGTCGGGGTCTGGCAGGAGGGATACGGTGATGCCTATGCCTAGGTGGTGGATATTTGTGTAGAATGAGAAGGGCGAGGAGGAGCTCGTGAAGGCTCCGAGCGTGGAGTGAAGGGATGTTCTTTCGCTTGTATTGTGTTCTCAGTGCTGTTTTTGTACCGTCTATGTTTCTCTGTAGCCCACGATGTCTTCGAATCCAATGCGCGTTATATCAACCATTCACATGACTATTCGTACACCGTAACATTTCACCCCGTTCGAATTTCGCCTTCGCTCTTTCACTCGTAAATGAGACTCTAAATCCTGCTGGTGCTCGCCTCTCCCTCCGGAGCGGGTGCTTCGTCACACGCTTTCTTCAATTCCTCCTAGCCAGAAATCAGAAGCTACAAAATCAGACAAGAGAAGACACATACCATGGCAGAAAGGGCAATCCGAAGGATAGTTTGAGCCTGTTCCTCTGTGTCTACATTTTCATCAAACTGTTGATGAACCATGTCTTGAATGTATTTCTTCACTTGAGGTGACCTCTTGAAGCGTTCGAAAGACCGCTTCCACGGGAGCCGTTCTACTTTCCACATGGGGAAAGAATCTGCACCTATCATGATAGCGGCTTCGAATAATGAAAATTAGTCTCAACAAGTGTCAAAGAGGTGAAAATGGATACCAGCTCCGATCTCTTGCCCCACTATTTCTCTTCCCTAACAGGAAAGGATCAGCTGGTTAAACCTCATAGCATCACTGGTTCACTTACCCTAGACTCCTGATACTAGTGTCATGGGTTGATAGACATGGCCCACCAGCACAAGTGACATCAGGTGTCAGCACATTGCTTGTAATAAACATTTGCATACCAGCTATATTACCCAGATTAGCAAAACCAAAAAAGATAGGAAAAAAATGTCACTTTAACAAGCTGCACAGTTTCAGCTCATGATCAGGAGCTACATTGCATACAAGGATAACCTCACCTAAAGTAACAGGAATTAAGTAGATATAACAAGAAGTATAGGTCAGAGTATGCTCACCTCCTGATTTTATCATAATGTGTGAGTAGTATGATTAGGAAGATATCTAGAAATAGAGGACCATACCTCCTAGTAAGACAAAAGCATCAGCATAATGTAAGGAATGATGTAAATAAACCTCACTGTCTATAGAGATGAGAATAGCTGAATGAATATGATGAAGATAGATAACAGGGCTTTAAGGCTTACATCCTTTCAAATAAGATTTAAGGACTATATACCATGATCAATCATACAATATAAAATGCAGACTCACCGCCTGACAGATGAAAGTGGCCAGATGAGCATCAGCCACATGCACGATACAACACCAGGACTCACCCGCTGGCAGATGAAAGTGGTGAGATGAGCATCAGCCACATGCACGATACAACACCAGGACTCACCCGCTGGCAGATGAAAGTGGTGAGATGTGCATCAGCCACATGCAGGATACAACACCAGGACTCACAACCTGGCAGATGAAAGTGATGTGCGTCAGCCACATGCATGATATAACACCAGGACTCACTACCTGGCAGATGAAAGTGGTCAGATGAGCATTAGCTACATGCATGATATAACACCAGGACTCACCCACTGGCAGATGAAAGTGGTCAGATGTGCATCAGCCAAATGCATGATATAACACCAGGACTCACCTGCTGGCAGATGAAAGTGGTCAGATGCACATCAGCCAAATGCAGGATACAACACCAGGACTCACCCACTGGCAGATGAAAGTGGTCAGATGAGCATCAGCTGCAAGATATGTCATTAGCACTTACTGACTGGAAGATGAGAGTGGTTAAATGAACATGAATCATATGTAAAGTGTCACCAGAACTCACTCCCTTGTCATTTAAAGCAACAAAGCCTGTCAGTTCAAAGTCTGTGAAGAGTGTAATATCAGCTTATACCTTTTTTACTTTTTCTGCATCCTCCACCCCTTGCTTCACCCACTATTGGAAATAAAGTCATTTTGTGCAGTTACCTTATACAATCACTTACTTTTTCTGGCTAATATCCATGATACACCTTAGCACAAACCTGGTATTTAGTATCACATATACTTACCATAACCTGGCACAGAAAAAACAACAGGTCATTTAAGTAGGTTTTTAATCCAGGCAGATTCCATGCCTGGTTATCATCCTGCACAAAAACACTAGTTAATTTTGCATCCAATCAAAGTATCACAGTAAACATACCCAGTTGTGTGGATAGATGGACCAAATAGCCGTGATCGTTTTGGGGTCATGACAATTTGATTGTGTCGATACTCTGAATCACTATTCACAAGCAAGATACCAGATATGGTTCAAAACATGAACTTGCCTTGCCGCCTCTTGCATGCACAGATGTAAGTTATTCTGCTGTACAGAGATGAACAGCTGGCGCAGAGACAGATCGTCTATTGCCACAGCTGTCTGCTCAGACAGTTCTGGGCACTGTGCCTCGACTTTGTTCATTCCTGCCCCATCTCAGTGGATGTCGTGATCAACATAGGATAGTTACTCACCTTGAAGTCTCACGACTGCTTTTGGTGGATTGGCAGTCTCCATGATGGGGCGGTGATAGCGCTCTCGATATCTGGCCTCTGCCTCAGTGTCGACATTGGCCTGGCTCTGTTCTGTCATGTCAATAATACCAAGGTCATTGGCTACTCGATCCAGCAGTGCATCATATTTGGTGAACACAACTACCACCGGTACTGCAGAGTGTCATGTTAATGAAGCCTGTTTCGAACATGCTAATGCTGGTTCATACCATCTGCAGTATCCTCGTTAAAAAAGGCGAGCTCTGCCTCAACCAATGGACGTGTGTTGTCCGTCGAGACACAAAACCTGTTAATATGCCATCGTCAGCATGTTCGAGAGAGTGCAGTCAATCATTTATATCACCAGATGGCATGCAAATGCTCGGAAAGCGACTGCTTGGACGCCCGCTCGCGCACAAAGTTGTGTATGATTTGAAACTCGTCCACGGAGCCAGCCTCAATCCCCCTTGAATCGTGAAATATAAAGCGGCTTCCTGGGTATGTGATCTGATTTGTGATGTCATGGCGTCCACGCTGCCGCCAACAGTGAGACAGCAAAACCCGAGTCAGAGCATTTATACTGTACTTGGGTGGACGATCGAAGAATGTCTGTGTCGTTCCTGTCAGAGTCCGACTCGCTACCCGAGGGCTGAGCCGCACGTCTCTACGAACCGAAGTGAGGAGGCGATCCCTCGCTTAAATCATACGAACACATACCTTTCGCACCCACGATGAGGGGCGAAGGCGGTTCCTCAAGCTCGAAAACTTTGAGCCATGCCCCGGCTACACTCGCCGTAGACGCCAGACGAAATGTGAGATATTGACCAGATAAGCAACTACCTTTACCTTGATCAATGCAGTTTTGTATTAGATCCACGACGCCGGCAGCTTAGTGGATAAAAAGCTTACCTTGTTCCCATCTGCGTCGTAAACTATAGGCTTGTTGTCTTTGCTGACGTTGCACACCTTCTGTAGGATCGTTGTCTTTCCCGCGTTCACTCTTCCGATGATAAGAACGCGGAAAACGGGACAGGTCTCGCGAACTTCGTTCATGTTGATAGTCTGAGTTGCATCGGACATTTTGAAGCGTAACGAGGAGCGGTTTCTGCTTTGGAGGGAGAGGGGTATGCTGGAGCCCACCTATACAAGTGAGACGACAATGCGGCGCAGAGTTTGGAGCCTCGCGGAGAAGAGCCGAGCCCCCATCGAGAGCGTCTATCTTGCTTATCATTTCGCACAGTGGTTTGGCTCACTGAGGCTCAATTTGCGGGTAAATCGAAAGGATTCTATTGATAGATGAACGCCTCCCAGACGCAAGCAGGGCGCAAGTATTAGCTAAATTGATACATCAGAATACTCATGACATTGACGTGTGATGAAGACGCCTGTACTGGCCAAATTTTGGTGTCCGCTTACTCGGTGATGAGACCCCTTGTGATACGGGAGCAGGGAACATGTAGCGAGCGGTAATAATATTGGGCGTCAACGAATATCGCTCTTTCAGTCAGGGCTGAAGTAGCAAAGTAGAGACGATTATACGGTATATATGTGTCGATGGAACGCTCGAATGATTCTATTCTCCACTGATCTGCTGACAAATTATTTTCTAATGGGCGCTCGCAAAGTCAGCCACTGCCCCAAGGTACTGCTCGAAGGGTGCGCGCGCTTTACAAAGTAGGTTGGAACGTTGCGGACGGGGCAGGCAGGAAGCCCGGATGTGTTCATGTTTCCCAATAGAGGGACCGGAGATAGTCGAGAGCTGAATGTTCAGGGAAGGCTACATACCCGCCATATCAGTAAGATGGGAGACCATGCGAACTCGATCAGAAACTAAAGAAGAGCATAACAGCTAAATTGGCCCAGCATCCCGCATAAGGTGAAGGGGAGAGGTCCACTCACAACGGAACGCCCTTGCAGGCCTACGTCGGTCGCTTTGGGGCGCCTATTGTCAAATATTGCACTCCCACCCTGTCACGGAGTCATGGAGCGCTCATTTCTGCGAGCTCTATGCCTGTTTCATAACTCACAAGCAACCCACAAGGCTCGACTCCTTGATGCATGTGCATTTTGAGCGTCTGGGGACAGCATGTGAACAGCATTGCGAACGTGAGGAGGAAACGGCATCGCCAGATAGAGTTGTGGGGTGTTCATATGCAGCGCTAGTCGATCCATCGGTTTTCCAAGGTGCTTGCATCACCAGGGTAGTACAGGCCGTCTACATAGAGCCCCAGAACTGAAGAGCCATGGTACTCACTACTGTATGCGAGCTTCCACAGAGCAGACGACTGGTTTTATTTTAGGGTGGCATCAGAATCAAGCCCCCAGCCTTCCTCGCTATCTTGTTTGAATTGTGATAAGATCCTGATCCGCCGTGGCAGACGATAGACGCTTCGTGCATCAGTATGGCCTGCGTAAATCACGATCGATGCATGGGTGATACCCAATTAGTTATAGGAATGTATATGTACCAATGAAAAGAGCACGTTCAGGTTGGGGGCTGTGGACATCCAAAAGGATGTCATAAGGCGTCAGAGCACGGAAGCGAGATAAGGGCAGCCGTGGCTAGTTCACCGCGGGTCGACGACTGGTTCAGGACTTATCTGACCTTGGTTACGCACGGACTCGGACGCGTCTCGCTCAAGAGCTCGCAACTGCCATATCCTTCGTAGACCAATGCGAAGCACCGCAATTGGCTAAACAAGCCTTCGACTCTATTGGTGGGGTACATGGGCCTCAATCAGCTCAGCTTGCCATCATGGCTGAGACTCACGTCATCCAAGGGGCCTTTTCTGCACTCTTGCAACGTCACGACGTAAATTTCGCAGCGTATTCTTCGCTTCCCTCACTTGTGAGTTACAAGTGATCAAACCGACCAGGCGGATATGATAGAGCACAGAAGCGAATGAGCTTCTACCTTCTCCTTGCACGAATCGAGGTCTGGCGGGCCGAGCTCGGAGCGGGACTGAGGAAGACAGAAATCATAGCTCTGAGCTCGGTCATAAGATATGCATACATACGACCTACCTTCGATACATTCCATAGGTTTTGTCATCGCATACTAACACCATATGAGAACTGTCCGTTGAAGTTTCAGTACTTACTCTCCGTGCTGACGCGAGGTTCTTGCCATTGAGAGGGTAAACTGGTCTTTGCGATCAGGGGGGTTCTTCCATAGGCGACTCAGAGCATCCAAGGGAAAGAGTCAGTGCCGGCGATGAACAGAGACGACGAAGATGAATGAGAAGTGTCAGCGTGGTTTGAGAACGGTGGGAAGTGTCCTCGAGCTCGGGGGTCGGATGCGTCGACTCACTGACTCAACTGAGCTCACGCTGAGTCCCGATGCGGAGACTCAAAATGTATGCTTTGGCAGGCGTGGCCCTTGATGTGCTCTTCAGCTCTACCATGAACCTCTAGCGCTAACTGATCTCTTAGAGTAAAGCATCATCGCATCCTCACCCCCTCAGCGTCGTGTGACTCGTGTCCCAGCTCTCTGAGTGCCAGCCACTCATCCGTCGTTGGTGGTGTATCGGGATGAAGAAAAAGAGCGAGGGGAGAGGGAGGAGAACTGGAGCAGCATGTCAATGGGATGACTGAGAGCAGATGCTCTCGTAGCTTGTACTTGTCGAGCATATTCGCAATGGTCCGTGGCTCCTCAGTACTTATGGGCAGGCGCTTACCGTGAACTTTGTATCCCGTGTCTTGTGTTGTACCTGCCCGCCTCATCTCCTTGCATATCTCGCACCTACCGTTTGCTTCACTGCAATCTTCATCATGCACCCTCAATACGGCGCTCCCGCACTCGCCGTACGCTCCCGTCGCAAATATTCAGATGGCCACAATACATCGGGCAGCTTAGTAGATTGCATCGGCGCGCACATGTTCATCTACACATACAAAATGGTGACGTGCGCGTGCACAGAAACTACGCTTGTCTTGTACATCCGCCCGTACATCAAGCAGACGCTGCTCACTTGCAGGCGGTCAAGTTAGTATTGTTTCCATCATCATACGCAGCTCAGTATCCATCTCTCTCGTCCGTCTTCGTCTTTCCGTGTTTGTCCCTTTGTCATTATCTTCCATCTAGTCTTCTTGTCGGTTCATGCTCGTGTTCAACCACCCACGATAGCTGTTCACAATGGAATGATCATTTGTATACCGCCGTCGCCCTCTTCCACACTAGTATCCGCGTGCGGAACGGTCTCCCATCATTGGATCTCCTTCTCATGCCGCCACTACCCATACCATCGCCCTTCCACCTCTACTCGAACCCCTGAAGTACTGGAAATGAAATCGCAATAGACCACCACAACCTTCCCCGCCAACGTCACCTACAGTCGCGATGACATTGGCCTCGCAACAGATTCCCTCATGCTGTTCACCAGCTCGGTCGCGCTCGCCAGCATATGCGGCTGAAGGCTAACATTGTGATCACCGCTGCGGTCTAAGCGACGGACGATCACCTGCGTACAAAAAACAATCAAGGCTAAGGACGGACTTGCGTTGAAGCGACGTAGAAACTTGTTTGAACAGCTTTAGACGGACCGGCGCGAGGCGAGTCGGCCGAGAGACGAGAAGGGGTAGGCGCTGAGTGCCATGCTTGAGACTGTATTCGGGTGCGTGACTTTACCTCGGTATTATGCCAGAGCTGGCCAATGGCTTCACAATGCTCGTACAGGCCGCAAGCGGACATCCTGGCAGGAGGCGCGGTCGATCCCCACAGTGCGTATGTGCGTTAGGGGCGTGGTGACTAGTCGCACTCGCACGCACACTCGGCGTGTTCGCGTTCCCGCCTGCGCCCGAAAGCGAGCTCGAGAGATCATATCCGGCGCTAGCTGCAGTCTCTATGGTGGCATCATCCATTACCACCGACAACTGTTAATGCCATCACGGATCCGCAGGCGCACCAATGTTGCGACTAACCTTATGAGCTTGCAGACCCACTTCAAGTTACAGCTACTCCGCCGGCTCCTCAGATACAATGACGATTGATGGTACTTGGTGTAGTTCATATTCTAACTAGCTTAGATACGTCACATTAACTTCCATTTGTCCGGTAAAGCTACTCGTGTAGACCAAAGTATGCGAGCTTGTCAGGTCTCCAGTAGTCTTGAGCTTCTGACGCTCAACAAGTCTCGCTGTTGAAGTTTGCTGAGAACAGGCAAGCTTGAGGATATACCTCCCTTTGGAAACCCTATCTGTTCACTGACTCCTTCCGATCTCGCCTTAGAACCAGCTCCTTGGACTGTTTACGCACGATTTGACAAGCCGTCACATCCGACTCAATTACTGGCACACGTGGCAACGAGTCAGTTGAACTGGTTCAGCGGCGTTCCCACAATTGTGAGCCCAGCGCTCTCTCAGTCGTAACAATTGAAAATGTTCTGCACGCATGTTCATCCCACATTTCAAGTAGGCGCTCAGATGCTCTTCGGGCCACCTCAGGTCCTGATGACCCCATCTTCCTCCGACCGCTTGTCTTACGGGAACGGCAACAGTCACTTTCTCCTAGCACTGCGACAACTCGAGCTATCCCAACCAACGCTCCTGCCGTGTCAGTACAAACTCCTGCAAACGATCTAGTCCCTACAACGGAGGCGATTTTCAACGAATGCTCAAGGTATGCTACGGCCATACTTTTCTGAGCTATACGTTAATAATTTATTGGATAGATTCCGCATCCTTGTGGCCGGAAAGGTGCGAGCTAGCCCAAACTGCTGCAATCCGTTCTGAAGTGAATGGCGTGCCCTCGAAAGACTGGAGGCGGAAAGTCGTCTCTGATCAACGGGATTTTCGGGACGAAGTTGGCGGTGAGCATCTCATTTTTGCCTTACCTACGTATGCTATCCTCACCTATGGCGACATATCAGGCGGAGTCAGAGTATACGCGCGGCGAAGCGACGATAGAAAATGCCTTTGAAAGCGATGCCAACCGTCGGTTTGTGTTGCATGATTCCATGGGCTACGAAGCAGGCAAAACCGATAATTTTGACAAGGTTAAGAGGTTCGTGGAACAGAAGAGCCAGGGCCCTGAGTCGGACAGACTGCACGCGATTTGGTACGTACATTATCTGGTGCATACATGCGTATTAGAGCGGAGAGCTGACCAAGTCGGTAGGCTGTGCATTTCTATTTCCTATCACAGGGGCCGTGTATTCGAAACGGGAGACGAGAAACTGCTGAGCATGTTGAACAAAATCAGTAAAAGTACGCAGATCTATTATATTCATCACCCGCAGTCAGATACTAAGATAAACCCTGTAGTCCCTCTTATCGTCGTTTTTACGATGCTCAACGGCATCATGATGACTATTCAACGGAATGAAGGCTTGAAGCCAGAGCCCGCTGTAAAGAACGCCAGAGAGATTGTGGAGGAGATGTACAGCAAGCAGAATTGCCCGAGACCGTTCGTCTGTGTGTCGAGTAAGTCAAACTCCCAAACGCGTCATGAACTTCCTAACACATGCGATTTAGCGAGACGAGAATATGAGGATACACTGAAGGAGCTTACAAATGTAACCATGGATCAGTTGGAGCCCCATGCGCCCTCTCAATCTGGCTCCAAGAGCCCGAAGAGATCGTTCTTCCGCAATCCCTTCCACGGAAGGTCAAAGAGCGCATTACCTAGCCATACGGAAAGCCAGGATCAGGGCCAGGATCATGGTCAGACTAATAATCAGGTTCTTTTGGCGACTGCACAGCGGATCAATCCGCCGATGAAAGTTAAGGCGTCGATTGAGTGAGTATCTGTACCGCATCGAGCGTTTTGAGCTGCAGCTGACTAGACTAATCAGCGTTAGGCAAACGAAGTACGTATCACATCTTCGTATTATTGATGCACGCCGCTGAGATCAGACAAAGAGTACTGGCGAAACCTTCTATCAAGCGCCTTTTTCAAAGGTCGTCCGCTCAAGGACTGTTTCCGTACTATCCATCAAGACATAGTGGTTGTTTGGAACATCAACCACGCACTCGAGACTGGAAGTCGTTCTTTCTCGCGGTTTGATTCTTCTGACTTGTCCTGGTAATGTGTGGCTCAGTACATGCTTGGCGATGAGTTTATCAACACGATGTCACACATCGTTGATGGCATCAACCCTGAAGATAATCTCGAAACGCAGAATGCGGCTCTTGATCCCGAGATGTAAGTACCATTATAGTCTAACCAGACAACATGTTCTTATCGCTGACTCAATACAGTCAAAACAATGCGCAAAGGGTGGGGGCGGCAGCAGCGACAATCGGCGCTTTGGTACCTCCCGCCAGTCTTGTCATATACGGTGTAACTGCGGCTGTTATGATTGCGACATGGCTTTATGGCGTGTATCAGCAATCGTATGTCTCTCCTCGCAGCTGCGTGGCGGATCTGCTGATAAACACGACTTACCAATGTTGACAGGAAGAGTATCGTCCGATGCTTGATGGCGTCTATTGTCGCGCTTGTGCTCATTATGGAGACTCTGTTCGAGATCCAGTCCTCAATCGAGGACGGGTTTGAACGACTTCACCCAACTGTCGCCCTAAAGGTCGTGGAGGATTACCAGAAGTCAGAGCTGAAGAAGAAAGTCCACGCCGAGGTCCAAAGGTTTGTTGAATCTGGCATGAGTGGCGCATTTAAAGGCCGGGATATGGTGATGAACACGATTACAGATCTGATCTTGCAATTCCATAAGGGTGGAGACAGGTACGAGAGGTGGCATGGCGACGTGGTGAACCAGGTCGACAGTCAGGGGGATGGACAGGTGCAGCCTTCTGGTGGTGAGTGAGTCCTATGTTACAGCCCTAGCATGATTCAGTGCGGTTTAGCTGCAAACATTAGTCTATCTTAGGGAACAATTGTCAAATACTCTGTATGTAGTGGTATGAATTATCTAGCTCATTGCCATAATATGTCGCAATTTCGAACCCAGTGATGTTTCTCGAGCGTTTTAGATTAAGCGCACGTTTAGTTTTCGTTCTGTTTGAAAACCTCATTCAGGGCTCGCAGTACTTAATAAGCAGGGCCAGTCCGCCGGAAGCGAGAAGTTCTATAGTGTTAATTATATCGTTGACAATATTTGGAACGATTGTATCGTGATTCGCTCATGGAGACGTCTCTCGCTGTTACGGTGTGCGGGTCATTTTTGCTCGTCATAAAACTCCTTTCATTTGCATCTACCATGAAACAATGTGGTCCATGTTGATCTTGGCCGGGTCTATCTTCATGTGCCCTGATGAAGAAGGTTATCCACTTGAACCCTTTGCGCTCCATGGCCCGCTTCTTCTCGCACTTCCTTTTGGCGAAGAATCGAGCCTAACCCCTGATCAGAGCATCTAAATTTCTCATCAATTCTCACAATGTTTTGACTGGTTGAGGCCAGGTCTGCCGGTATAATTATAGCAAACATGTTTTATTGGTCAATGGACACGCCAGACGCAAACAGGGCGTGTTTGTGAGCTGAACTAGTCCGTTTGAACGCTCGTGGTATTGACACCAACTACATTGAAGAAGACACCTCTAGCCGATTCCCTGGTGTCCAATTACTTGCTGATGAGTTCCCCTGTGATACGAGAATCGAAGCAGGGAAAGCGCTGAGTATGCGGTATTACATGTGTTGATCGGCGCAGTGCTCAGCTGATTAATATTATAGCACCCTTTGACCTGGTCCTGCTGACCTGAGCTTCTCTTCCAATTGACGCTCATAAATAAAGTCACGATCCAAGTATTGTTAGGAGCGTGCGCGTGTAGTTTGCAAATAAGATCGAAATGATGTGCGCGGCGTAAGAGGGAAGCTCGGATGTACTTGAGTCTCTTCGTTCGAGGGTTCGGAGATGGTCGAGAGCTCAATGTTCGAGAAAAGCGATGTACCGCCATATCAATGAGATGAGCGGCCATACTAACTCGGTTGAAAACTAGAGCGTGGCAACTGGATCAGCCCTGCACTCCACATAAGGTGATTTTGAGAGGTCCACTTACAGTGGAACGCCCTTACAGGCCTAGTACTTCAGTTGCTTTGGGATTCTGATGAATATCGTTCTTCCCACCCTGTCACGGAGCCACAGGGCGATTACTTCTGCGGAGTCCCTATGCTCGTTTCGGCACTACACGAGGCTTCAGTTCTGGATGTGGGCGCTTCTTGAGCGTCAAACGAGACAACATGTGAGCTGCATCGTATCGGCGAGGAAACAACGGCCTCGCAAGACGGACTTACCATCGTGGAGCTTTCAGAGCAATTTCAGAGTATGGTGCGCTATCCGATCAAGCGATTCGTTTAAACTGCATGCACGGCGAGGGCACTGTGGAACGTCGATACAAAGCCCTGGAAATGATTGAGAATTGTAGTACTCACTACTGTATGCGGGCATCCGCGCAGCTTACGACCAATCTAATCAGGTCGGAGTCTACGGTCCTGGGGTGTCCGAAACGTGTAGAGCCAACGCGGCCCACCGGTCAATCCGGGGGCCCGAGTATATTGAATGCATAGGCTATCGTATCGTAGGACTATGGGTAAACCAGGTACAGTAAGGCAATAGAAATGTTCATGGAGAATGCAAGGGATGTGTGACGTAGCTGTGAGGCGAGGCTCGGGGGAAGGAGGGTGGGTAGCAAAAAATGAAGATGCTAACTAGCAAGGCGCGAAGATGAGCAAATGCTCAGGTAGTAAAGAATAGAGACGAGAGACTTACCGAGGCAAGGCGCGAGGATGAGCAGATATCGAAACTCTGCGCGCCTTGCCTCACCTCTTATAGAGTTTGCTGAAACC